CGCATACGACCTAGGCGAATACAACATTCCGAGTCGAGAGTGCGGGCCGGGCTGAGGCGAGAACAATGATGGCGATCATGTGTGCGGCTGGCGCCAAGGCAAAGACACAATCAAATGCGGCTGGTGCCACAGCGAGAATGACATGCTCAACGAATGATGCGGCCGGCACCTAGGCGACAGCGACACTCTTCATCAAACATGTGCCCGGCGCCACAGCGAGAACGACATGGTCAGTGATAGATGTGGCTGGCGCCTGGGCAACAGCATTTTCAATCTGACATGTGGGCTGCGCCAAGGAAGGAACGACATGCTCAATGAAGGATGTCGCCGACGCCTCGGCGACAGCCAAACTTTTAGTCCGATATCTGGTCAGCGCCGGGGCGAAAGGCGACATGCTCAATGAATAATGCCGCCGGCGCCTGGGCGGCAGCCGCATTTTCAATCCGAGATCGCGCTAGCGCCAACGCGATAAACACATGTTCAATGAACGATGTCGCCGGCGCCTGGGCGACAGCAGCATTTCCAATCAGACATATGGCTGGCCACAATGTGAGAGCGACAGTCTCAGTGAAGGACGTGGCTGGAAAGAAGCATTCCAATCAGAGAGATGGCCAACCCGCACGTGTCGAACAACACGCTCAATGAAGGATGTCGCCAGCGCCTGGGTGACAACAACATTTTCAATCAGAGATGTGGCCCACGCACAAGCCCGAGCACAATTTCGGCACAAACGTGTCGCAAACGTGCAAGTGCCACGATCATTTCGCGCGGGCCCGGCTCGGTGTCACCGAGGGGCGGGTTACGCTGTGTGGGTCGTCCTCGTGATGGCGGGGTGCAGCAGGTTCATCACCACTATCCGCCGGCCCCCTTGTGGGGCCACCAGGCTGTAGGCCCGTGCTTCGCAGTTTCCTGTACCAGTTGTAGCTTGTAGTTTCCAATGTTACAGTTCTGCTTATTGCTGGTTACTGTAACTCGTTGATTGACCGCGCGAGGGGGGGGAGGGGGCCAAACCAGCTTTCTAGCACCCCCTGGGCGCGTTGTCTGAATTGCTGGAAGGGCTCGAAATCGACACCCCTCACGCAGATCCGCGGGGTCAGGGTCCAAAAACAGAGGGGATTTGCCAGATTTCTAAAATTCGGCGCCACCCCTCACGCAGATCCGCGGGGTCAGGGTCCAAAAACACAAGGGATTTGCAAGATTTCTGAAATTCGGCGCCACCCCTCACGCAGATCCGCGGGGTCAGGGCCCAAAAACACAAGGGATTTGCCAGATTTCTGAAATTCGGCGCCACCCCTCATGCAGATCCGCGGGGTCAGGAGCCGAAAACACAGGGGATTTGCCACATTTCTAAAATTCGGCGCCACCCCTCACGCAGATCCGCGGGGTTCAGGGTCCAAAAACACAAAGGGATTTGCCACATTTCTAAAATTCGGTGCCACCCCTCACGCAGATCCGCGGGGTCAGGGTCCAATGACACAAGGGGATTTGCCACATTTCTGAAATTCGGTGCCACCCCTCACGCAGATCCGCGGGGTCAGGGTCCAAGGACACAAGGGATTTGCCAGATTTCTGAAATTCGGCGCCACCCCTCACGCAGATCCGCGGGGTCAGGGTCCAAAAACACAGGGGATTTGCCACATTTCTGAAATTCGGTGCCACCCTTCACGCACATCCATCGCAAGGCGTGGTAACCCAAACTGCGAGAACTCCCTCGGCGCTTTAATCGCAAGGTGTGGTAACCAAGCCCGTAAAACAGACACGTCTTACCAATCGCCAGGTGTGGTAACCCCTCTTGTGATCAGTTGGTTGTGCTGATTGCGAATCGGCTTCGCATGAAGTTTCGATACTGCTTCACGACAGCGCCAATACCTCATGACTTAGCTCTTCCATGGCCCATTCTTCGACAGAGGGGGCCGGCGGCAGGGAACGAAACCCTTACGGATATTCGTACATCATCTAGTCCACGATGTCAATCTG